CGAGTATAAGCTGAGGTGGTTTTTTTCAGCACAAAAAATGTGCTGAAAAACTCGGCTTATACTCGAGTCAATAAGTTTTCCCAGTTTTTTGTGGCAAAATTAGGTGCCTCAGCTTATATTCGGGTCAACTTATACTTGAGTATATACGGTATGTTACAAACTTAATAGCTTCCCTTAACAAATGTTCCAAGAAAAGTCCAAGAAAAGCCATAAAATGGACTAAAAGTCACTTAACAACTGTCTCACTTAGCAACATAAATTCTTGTCTCAATTATGGTCATAAATCAAGAACTACCTTTAATCCATTGAGAACTGCAGGACTTTTAAGGAGAAAATTGTTATTTTCCTCCCTCTACCGCCTTAATGTCTTTTTTTTCCACTAAGAATGTTCCCGTTCCAGACTAGCAGACTTAAAGAAGGGGCAAATAACTTTTACAATGGCCTGCAAGGTCTTGACTAGAACTTTTGAAACCTGGCTGAGAGCTGTAGATTGTGCTTTTTTGCTATACACGATAGATAGGTAGACAGATAGGTAGACAGACAGTCTGTTGTCCCATCAATTTCAAATTAACAGATTTTACTGAAAGGCATAAGCGTTCTGAACTTCAGCAAGTTACTTATTCTTGCTATATTATAGGTAGTATAAATCATGATCTGATATGAACTTCTGGAGGAAAGAGCAAAACTTTCTAACATCTTAATTATCACTTGAATAGTCTAAAGTTGTAATCCTAAACACAACTAATTTTACACCCCAACATAATACAGAACAAACAAAGCTTATTTGATAAACAGGGTACTTTTCAACTCCTCTATTTTCATTCTTAAACTAACTTAAAAATGTCATGCTCTTGTTAATACTTGTGGAATAAATCTGCTTCATGGAGAATTTTTTTTAAAAAAATCACTGCTTATTTCTGTTGTACGGTTTACATTTTCATTTTTTTCCCAATTTTTAGAAAACAAGTGTGGCAACAGCAGCTTGAACTTTCAATATGATAGATTACACCCCATTAAGACTTTCTATGGCACTCCGCAAGACATGTATGAGCCAATACCTATTTCCACCTTAAATGGACTGACAAAGCCCAATCACAAAAAAGAAAAGTGTCCTATGGAAATATCCAACAACTCATCATTGAAAGTAAATAATATCACCATGGAGTACCTTACTAACTCACTGAGTGTGAAGATGCTACCAGCTATATACATTGCTGTTGTCTTAATTGGAGTACCAGCCAATGTCGTAACACTGTGGATGCTGTTTTTCAGAATCAGATCAGTCCGTACTGCCATATTCTACACAAATTTGGCTATTTCAGATTTCCTTTTCTGTATAATGCTGCCATTCAGAATTGCATACCACCTAAATGGCAATAACTGGATATTTGGAGAAGCAATGTGTCGAATCATGACTGCCGTCTTCTATGGGAATACGTACTGCTCCACCCTGCTTCTCACTGGTATCAGCATCAGCCGTTACATGGCCATTGTTCACCCGTTTACCTTCAGGACTCTATCTAAAAAGTTCTTAGCTACTTTAACTTGTGGTATGGTGTGGACGGTTGTTTTTTTATATATGCTGCCTTTGATAATCACGAAACAAAGCTATCATCTGGACCAGCTAAACATCATTACCTGCCACGACGTTTTTAACGTTTGTGAAACTATGCTCCCTTTCCAACACTATTATTTTATTTTCCTTGCAGTATTTGGATTTATGATTCCACTGTGCATTGTTATTTTTTGTTACATTTCCATTATTCAAACACTCAAGGCTTATGAACAAAAGTGGTTCTGGTACATCAAAGTTAGTCTTCTTGTCCTCAGCATTTTTGCTATTTGTTATACTCCCAGCAATGTTATACTGATTGCTCATCATCTGAATTATTATTACAGTTCTAAAGATAATTTGTATTTCTTTTATTTGATTGCTTTATGTCTAAGCAGCCTAAATAGTTGTCTTGATCCTTTCCTTTATTTCCTGATGTCCAAAGTCAATGACAACACCAAGACCTATCTCACCATGGTTAAAATAGCTCAGGAAGGAAAAACATAACACGTTTCTCCTGTGATATTTGAAAAAGTTACAGATACATACATTTTTTTTACAAAATTACCTATTTAAGACTTCTATTTTTATAATATCAAACATCAAATTATATCCAAATACTAAAGCTATTCGTATTTATACCATTCAGGATAATGTTTCATTAACAGGGTTAAAAGTTACACTTTCAGTTTGGTTTGATTGTGTTTTGGTTGTAGCATATCTTCATAATTGACAACAAAAAATAAATAATCCTGGACTTTTTCTGCAGCAATGAGTGATTCTTTAAATTTAAGCAATGTTATTATTTCTAACAAATCTCAAAAAATAATTTATATTATGATTTAATGTTTACTTTTAATGATTACTTGGCCAAATTTGAATGCTATTAATTATCAGATTAATTAATGAATCATCAACTTGTTGACCAACTTAATATTTAATCCTTTTAAAAAAAATCAACAAGGTAGTAATGAAAACAAACACACACACACACACACGCACACTTCCTTTACTGGTTACACAAACATTTGGAAGGTGAAGACTTTAAGAGCCTTTCATGTTCTGAGTCCCAGTGGAAGGCCTTTGTGTATCACAGGGGGTTAGACTAGAAGACCTCAAAGGTCCCTTGTTATTCTGTTAATCCAGCTGCACCAAGTCCTGAAGGATGTAGATCCAAAAATTCTTTGAGAAGTGGTAGGTTCCATGGAGCCATGCCACAAGGAAATCAGTCTTCTAAATTATTTGTACAGCCTTAGTTGTTCCTGGTTTATGGGCATTTCCCAAATTGCATTGCTAAACTGGAAGACTGCATGTACTGCTTGACATAATAGCAGCTAGACAATATGGCAAACATTATAAACCAGAGTTGTGCACAAAAGAGCGGGATGTGCTTTCAAATATTTTGAATATGCCTGAAAATATTAGCTGAAATTTTGTAGATGCAAATTGTCTCAAAGGTGCTTTTTAAAAAGGCAACCGGACTATGTTTTTTCCCCTTGAGGAAGAAAAAGATGTTTTATCAAGAAATTTCATCAGTTCTGGCTGGATGTTGGAGTGGGGATGAGGAAATGGAAGAATTAGTTCTGACTGATCTATCTGTTATGCAACAACTATGATCTGGATGACTGACTATTGTGCATGTAACATACTATTTACTAAATTTAAATATAAATGAAATAAAAATTAGGTTTTGCTCTGGTCCCACAGTAACACACCCCTGTAGTAAGGAGATAAAAAATTAACAGTGATTCTACTTTTGCATTATAGGACTGCAGGATAGGACAGCTGCATTTCATAAGTGTGCAAGATAGGACAGCTAAACAGCCACATTTCATAAGTTGTGCAACAGTTTTCATGCTTTCACAATATTATGTGATTATTTTCTCATTATGTAGATAGGCATGGGTATAAAGCAGAGTTAAGTTTTGTGTAAGATTATAAACTGCCCAATCGCAACCTTAACCTAAGCATTTTTCTGTTATAGAATGTAAGATCTACAAAGATGCAAGGAATTTGTTAGTAACTCCCAAATCCATTGTACAGATTTTTAAAAAGCCAATTCTAAGAATTTATATAAAATTGTGTTACTGGTATAACAGTATTTAAACAGAGCTTCAAATTCATTACTGAGAAGACAACTGGATCTCTGAAAATGTCAAACTGAGGACAATTCATAATTCCCTAGAACCCCAAAACTCCACAGAATATGCAGAAACAAAATATTTTGTCTACATTTTGAGAGAGAGGGGTTTTAGGGGATTTACATGTTCCAGAAATGCCATCAGCATATTGTAATAAATAATTACAATGCATATATATAGGAATTACAAAAACTTTGACAAAATGGGAAAAAAGTATTAAATTTTTTCTACCTGACATTTGCATGTTTTTGCATCATTCAAAACTGCTTGATAATGCCAGGCATTTGCTTCTTTTATATTCTGTAATTTTGCTGTGGGAAACAGCAGTGTTTCTATTGTTCTTATTGGATCTCCTCCATCAATAGCCTCATTAATAAAACCCACTGCCAAAATTTCTATTAAAAAAAAGTATATCGTTAATATACTATTAAAGAAATGTAACTGTAGTTATGTATCAATATTCAAAGTGGTTTAAACTAATAATTTCAAATTATTATTCAACTTTTAATTATTATATTTTTAAAATACACACAAAAATATTTTTATTTAAGAATGATTGGTTGAAGGAAGTATATCAAAATTACTTAGTAGTCTTAGGCAATTTTAATTGGACAGCAATATGGGAATATAAATATGAGTTAAATATAACTGCCATAGAGGAAGCAATCTGAAACCCAATTTTTCTAATTCTCCAAATATCTGCAGAACACCTGTAAATTATCTGTTTGATTCTAACAACAAAAGCTAGATTAACACTTGCATGACTGCCTTCAATATAGTAACTTCATGCTATTTTTGGAACAAAGATGCTCAAGGCTTATTGTTTTTACAGATATGTAAAGATCTGTTGAAATCTATTTGAAGCATAGGAAGTCTACCATTAATGCAACAGTTTGCCACTATAATTGAATTCTCTCCAAAGTGTTTTTTAAACGGTTTTGGTGGTGGAAGTGGAAATGATCTTTCCTATATTCAATAAATAAAGGGAGGGGTTTTTTTCAGGCAACACACACAAAACATTTAACATGTAGTTTCTGGTTGATCAGAATAGAATAGAATAACAGAGTTGGAAGGGACCTTGGAGGTCTTCTAGTCCAACCCCCTGCCTAGGCAGGAAACCCTACACCACTTCAGACAAATGGTTATCCACCATCTTTTTAAAAACTTCCAGTGTTGGAGCATTCACAACTTCTGGAGGCAAGTTCTTCCACTGATTAATTGTTCTAACTGTCAGGAAATTTCTCCTTAGTTCTAAGTTGCTTTTCTGCTTGATTAGCTTCCACTTTTTGTTATGTTTGCAACCTCACAATCCTGATTTTTTTAAACAAATTAATGCTATTTAACATGTATTTTATTATTGAAATGTAGGAACAAAGAGTTAAATGGACCAGAATACTTACTATCATTTTCTTCTTGAATTTGTGTATTAACCATGTCAATACAGTTCTGGATGTCATTCCAGCTTAAATATTGTTGTCCTTGAGACAAAGCCTCTAATTTAATAGACAGCAAGGTGTCAGCATAACTATGAAGAAACAATTAAAAATTTGTTTGTACTGTAATCTAGAGTTAGATTAGCTAAAAGATTATCATAGTTTAATGAACAATTCCATATAGTAAGGCACCATTAAATTATAGAATTTGTATAATTATATAATTTTTCTTAAAATATTAGTGATAAATACCATAAGTCACAGAAATACACCTGTAATTAATGTTTTTACCGTTGCAAGTTCTCTTCCTCCACATTGTTAAAGCCAATGGATGGATTGCTGATGTGTACTTTTATTGCATCTATGTTCTTACTTTCCAAAGCCTGATTTAACAGCACGACAGCTGAGAGCATTTCAACAGCAATAGACAGTTCATCATGAGCTAAGTATTTCTGTAGAAATATATTCAGATCAGCAAGAAAAATAAAGCTTTCAATATGTAAAAAATGAGTTATGGTTTAACCCTGAAAAAGCCAATGCCAATATTAAAAGTACATACATCTAAAATACATCAATTAAGCCAACTGCATTTTTACAAAATAATGTGTAAGCTTTCGAATTTCATCTAGAAATGTGAACACTTACATATCATTTTACAAACATCTTAATTAACCTAAGGTATTGCCTCAAGAGTCATTTGAGAATTATTTTCATTCACAGTACACAGTAGATGACAAGTTTTGCTTACTCAAAATTAATATTCCTTAAAAAATTAAGCCCAACCGTTATTATTTATTTGAAAATAATTATTAACTTGCATATTTCTCTGAATTACATATATATTTTAATGTTATTTAATTTTTTATTTTATTAATATGAGAATGAAAAGGTAAATGCTTTTATAGGCATTTTACTCTCTTTCTTTGTTTCTTTCCATGCTGCCTTTTCTTCATCACTCCATATCATCATTTTTTATCCTTTTTTCTTTTTTCCTTTTCTGTTCTAATTTTGACAGGAAAATCAGGAAAATCGATCCTGTTGCAAGAATCACTTCTTGCCTCTCAGCTACAACAGCTAAATTATGTCAAATACAGAACTGCTGATCCACTGATAAATAAACTCAAGGAGCAAATTCTGAAGTAGAAAAAGGCCTGACAAAGTCTCTGCAACAAGAAACCTTTTTTAGCTGAAAACATTGGTAACCAACTATTAACAGCAAAGAAAGGATTTCTTGTGGTGGGTCAGGATGACCAAGGACTAAACTATCAGGATGCTAAGTCCATCCTAAACTGAAGAAAAAATTGGTATATTAAAACTAGCAGCAAAATCAGCCAGCAAGTTTTGACCAAAATTTGGGAACTAAAGCCTAGTACAAAAACAGAATTATTAAATTAGAATTACATATGACTTTAGAAACAAACCTACACATTTTAAAAGTCTGGTATTTTTTCTTATCTATCTTATCTACTTCTATAACACTGAACACTCATTTGTGCAAACTCACTGACAACCAAGAATTAATAAAAGTATTTGCAGAAAGTGCATGTTTAAAAGTCATAGAAGAAATTACAGATATTTTAGTATATCTATTTTTCAATTAGTTAGCTTTAGGGACAAATTCAGATAGCTTCCCTCTTACCATAGCATTCTGTTGCTGAAGATTGAAGAGTTCAGTCTGATAGACCGAGGCAGCAGAAGGATAAACTTCAGGTAACTGGGCTTCAGGTTTCATTAAAGCAGCAATTGTCATGTTTGAGTCACAGTTACGAATTGCAATGTTAATATTGTCAACTGCAATAAGTTCTAGTGTCAAAAAATAGAAATATCCAAAAACCCAATTAATCCTGTTCCAAGGCATACTAGTGTACAGATTGTATATCTGGTATTTCTAATGATATAAAAGAAGAAAATTGTTAAAAGTCTTCTTTTGAAGCTAATTATGCCATAGAAGTCTGCTAAAAACTACCAAAAGGGAGGGGGGAATTTAAAAAATATTGTAAATGAAAGGTGCTTATAACAATGCAAGCTTATACTTTATACATGACAATTTAGATAGGTTTTTATAAAATAATTTTATTAAAATAATTTTATTTCCTTGACCTTTTGTTATTTTAAATGTAAGAAGTCTAATCTAATGAGTGTTTTTAAATTTAAGAAAATCAAAGATTAAGGAAATAAGAAAGCCAATTCAATAATAATT